CGTCTCACATTGGTCATTGGTGTACTGTCTCAGTGTCTGTAGACATGGACGATCTTGGCCCACCTTCTAAACCAGAGACCATATATTGGTATGAGGTCTCTGTCTAAACATTTACCGCTGAATAATTCTCGCTGTTGTGGTGTGACTAACTCAGGTTTCAGGATACCCAACAGCATCTTGCATCTGAGGGCTGTTGACATGAGTGAAAATGTGCAGAAGTTAGGTGTGTGTGTGTGTGTGTGTGTGTGCACGTGTGTGTTTTGTGTTGTATGTGTGCATGTGTGTTGTATGTGTGTGTGCGTGTGTCTGTTGTGTGTGCTCGCACGCGTGTGTTGTATGTGTGTGTCTGTTGTATGTGTTTGTTTGTGTGCATGTGTGTATTGTATGTGTGTGCGTGTTGTATGTGTGTGCGTGTTGTGTGTGTGTGTGTGTGTGTGTGTGTGTGTGTGTGTGTGTGTGTGTGTGTGTGTGTGCATTGTGTGTGTATTGTGTGTGTGCGTTGTGTGTGTGCGTGCGTTGTGTGTGTGCGTGGCTTCACTGGATCAGGGTAATATAGGGAGGCTTCACTGTGGATCGGGGTAATATAGGGAGGCTTCACTGTGGATCAGGGTAATATAGGAGGCTTCACTGTGGATCGAGGTAATATAGGGAGGCTTCACTGTGGATTGGGGTTATGAAGGGAGGCTTCACTGGATCAGGGTAATATATGTAGCAGGGTTGAGAATAATGTTATTTGAAGTTATTTGGTGGTGGATTTTAAGTTCAGCATGATTAATTTAGTATTTCCAAGATAAATGAATACTTCCCACAACCCAATAAGGGCCCCCAGGCCATAGAGACCCTCATGGTAATTGAAAGGTATCATTTCTAAACAAGAAGTGTGTCATCACATTTGATTGGCTACAAGTTTCTGTAAACCAAGTAGAACCAGTTTGATTGGTTTTGCAATGCACATGCTTTTTGTGCTGTGAGCATGCCACATGCATGATCACTTGGCTGGTGACATCAGGAGTGGGAACACCTATTCCTTTCTTGCTTGGTGTGTGAAAACTTCAGGTAAGTTTAGTTTGTTTTAGAAAAGTTGTTTTATAAAAAGTATAAAATATGGATAAAAATTGTTGTATTGTTTTACACTTTAAAACAGTAGTATAATTGTTGTTCATGCAATTTGGTAATAACTTAACTTGGAACATTTCAAGTGTGTAGTTGGGTACGGAATAACTGTTGATAGTAAACGTTTGGCAGGTTTGTCTATGCAGTTAATTATTGTAATATTTGGTGTATTTTAAGAAACTGTAGGTTGGATATGGCAGTGGCGACCAGGTTAATATCTGCTTGTGAGAACATGTGGTTTTCAGCCCATAGGTGGTTATTATAAGTTTTGTATATAATCCTGTCATTTAATTCATGATAATTATGGTAAGGTACAGTACAAAAGATTTTGTTAATATCTCTATTGTAATTAAGCAGTCACTTGTTATTTACCTTTTGTTAATGTTTTGTACGTTGTAATGTTATTTTGCTTTTAAGCTATTTTGTATGTCCTGTACAGAGTGATGTGCATCCAGCTATACATGTATGTCAGTTACAGTTGGAATAGAGTATTTTATATTGGATTTGATAATGTTGACAGGACCGTTGTAACCACGAGATCAAGCTGTGCAATAAAGAACTCGGCCCAATACATGGATCATGTCTTCACTGATGGATGGACACGTGAAGATTCTGGGGTAGAATTGGTCTTCAGCAACCCATGCTTGCCGTAAAAAGCGACTATGCTTGTCGTAAAAGGCGACTAACGGGATCGGGTGGTCAGGCTCGCTGACTTGGTTGATGCATGTCATCGATCCCAATTACGTGGATCGATGCTCATGTCAATCACTGGGTTGTCTGGTCCAGACTCGATTATTTACAGACCGCCGTCATATAGGCTTCACTGTGGATCGGGGTTATGTAGGGAGGCTTCACTGTGGATCGAGGTAATATAGGGAGGCTTCACTGTGGATCGAGGTAATATAGGGAGGCTTCACTGTGGATCGGGGTAATATAGGGAGGCTTCACTGTGGATCGGGGTAATATAGGGAGGCTTCACTGTGGATCGGGGTAATATAGGGAGGCTTCACTGTGGATCGGGGTAATATAGAGCGGCTTCACTGTGGATCAGGGTAATATAGGGAGGCTTCACTGTGGATCGGGGTAATATAGGGAGGCTTCACTATGGATTGGGGTAATATAGGGAGGCTTCACTGTGGATCGGGGTAATATAGGGAGGCTTCACTGTGGATTGGGGTATTGTAGGGAGGCTTCACTGTGGATCAGGGTAATATAGGAAGGCTTCACTGTGGATCGGGGTAATATAGGGAGTAGATGGCACCTACAGCAGAGTTCCAACTGGTGCTGCATATTGGATTTGTGGAGTTTCTGGAATCACTAAGACGTCTGGGTCATCAATGAAGAATAACTTCTTCACTAGAGTGTGCAACTCTTCATCGGTCCATCTGCTGGCAGAAACTGGAACTGCCGCGTGACTGCTGCTGTCTGGGCTGAGTGGGAAAAGTGTTGGTTATAAGCGATGTGATGAGTACTGTCTTAATGGTTGCATAAGGACTTTCGTCCCCTGTCAGCTTTTAGTGTTTGTCTATAACCACGATAACAGTCTTCTCATTCAGTTAATCATATCGGTAGGTTCATTTTGTGTGGCTGTTGATTTCAAGCTCATGAGCAGGAGACATTTTGGTCTCTTTGTCTTATTCTGTCAACCACTTGTTCTGTATGCACAGGGAACAGGAAAGTTGATTCATGGTCAGATATCCTGACATTCATTTACCGAGATATGAAAAAGTAACCTTGGAGCACCTCTGTAATCTGTCCATGTACAGGAATGCCTAATATTGGCATGGGGCGACCTAACTGGAGGTAAGACCTGTTTCATTGGGGTATAAATCTTGATTATCAATAAGATCGTTTTGACTTGCTGCCGACAATATTTTTAAGCAAATGATATGAGAGGTGGAATCTGATTGGCCAATGGAAGGGACATTACTCATAAGACTTTTATAGTCAGTTAACTCCCTTGCTTCAGGAAGATGTGTTGAAGGATGCTGCAAGAAGTCTTGTGAAACCGGACCACACAGGGACTGACCATTTGATATTCTGTGTGCAGACTAGATACTTTTTAAGCTTCAGCTGTAAAACCAGATATATTTTTTCAATGAAAACTGTGCCTAAATCATTTTTTTTTTTAAAAACATCTTGGAACTATGTATTTTTTGTGGCAGACAATTTTCTGTTTTGACAATCTGAGCATAATTTATTGTTTGAAGCCTTTTTCCAGACAATATACACTTTTTTTTCTAAAGTCCCAGGCCATCCCCAGAATACCAAGTAATATGACCCTCATGAGGTTTGCTCATGTTTAAATTTCTCCTCAGAGAATTTGTGATAATTGAATTGGGCCACACTTTGTTTTAAATCTGAATTTGACTCTTTTTTTATCCCACCAATAATAAGTGATAGCATTTTGCACCAAAAATAAATTTTCTAAACAAGGACCCATTATTAATTATTTGCAGTGGATCATCTGGCCACTTTGCTACACTAAATGTATGTTTTGTCTGAAATTGTTTCAGAATGGGCTAATGCCCTGTTGTAGGTGTTGCAGTCACTTTGCATTTAATCAGTTCTTATGAAAACACACTGGCAGTGGATGTTTCATATTTGATAAATTATGTTTCTTTGGGGCACCCCTATTGTTTCCAGATCAGTCAGCAACATACCTGTGTTCATGGGTATGCATCTAAGACCTGCATCACTTCGGGCTTTACTCCCACATTAAGCTGACAGGTTCTGATGTAACTGATTTATGTGTTAAGAGCAGCCTCTCAGGTATTATGTTTGTAATCTATCACAGAGCAGACAGGACCCGTGAAGATCCGGGATAGAATAGGTCTTCAGCAACCCATGCTTGCGGTAAAAGCTGACTCTGCTTGTCGCAAGAGGCGACTGACGGGATCAGGTGGTCAGACTCGGTTGATGCATGTCATCAATGCTCATGATGTCAATCACAGGATTGTCTGGTCCAGACTCGACATTTGCCATTTGGGCAATGTGTGGCGACTTCAGAACTAGCAAAACCTCTGCAGTTAGATCAGTGGTGTCAAAATGTGGAACAGGTCTCTCGGAAGTATAGCAAGATGTATTTGGTATGTATCTTTTGAAGGTTCAATGTTTTGCTCCTTGCACAATCGAATTTGAAGTTATTCCTGCTTGAAATTAAATGTCAACAGTTACAATGTTGGGACATGCCATTTTGATCATCATTCTCTACCTAAATATTGCTTTTCAATGATGTGAGTGCTATCCTCCATGAATATGACCTTGTATTAACATATCTGGATTAAAGTTGAATATTTTCTCACTTGTTTTGGTATATCAACAAATCATGTGTGTCCCCCGCCGTGACATTGCTAAAATCAGTGTAAAACCATACTGGGTGGGCATTTCCAGCAGTTGCGTCAATCACTGGATTGTCTGTCATAGCTGGAATATTGCTGAGTTTGACATCACAGATGTTGCACAATGAAAGACCGCAAAAGCAATTTCAAGCTAGCAATTATCATTGGTTATCCAGTGTCTTTATGTTGCTCCTGCCTCAAGATCACATGAAGATGTCGAGCCAATATAATGGACATTTACAAACTGAAAGTTAGATGCAAACATTATGTAATGGTGGACGATTTATGAATATGCTGCTGAGACATATTCAGTTGCAAAAAGACACTGCATAACCAATGATAATTGCTAGCTTGAAATTGCTTTTGCGGTCTTTTATTGTCCTCAGGGATGACGGCAGTCTGCACCATACAATCCAGTGACAGGCTTTAATGATTGACATGTATCAACCGAGCAATCCCTTCAGTCGCCTCTTATCGCAGCACTCATCGATATTACAGCTATATGGGCGGTTCCGGGTAGTGTGATGGAAAACAAAGAAGACTGGCGGCTGGCACACAACATTTATTCTGCTCAACTACACAAGATATTTCTATATTTAAAGTAACCCAAGCTGTCGACTTGCAATCATTATGCAAACGTACACCCACAAAATCCATTTTTCTGAGCTCGTTGGATGTGCTAAAACTTGGGCCTCGGTGAGAATAGAATAATTCCATACGTGTGACCAGTGACAAAACCAACTCCGAATCATTGGGGACACATCTGAGCAAAGCAATGTAGGTAATAGTCACCTCAGTTTTCTTGACATCATATTCCCAATGAATTCCATTTCACATTGTTCCAGTTTCCTCCTTCGACATGACCTAACTTTGTCTCCGGACTGAACTGCCCTCGTTCAGTTAAGCCATATTTCTCCCTCCCCCATTTCTGTTCGATAACTTGCCCTCATATAGTAAACAAATTTCCAAGTAAGCTATCTACTTCAGCACACACCAATCAGTTACCAACTCAATCACCCCACAAGCACGCTTCTCACAGTCAATCAAGCATGACGCCGACCACCCAAACTGGACCCCTTGTGAACCACACAAATATACAACGTCACTCATAACACCAGGAACAGGTTAATTCTGGACAGCTTCAGTACCCATTATTTCCGGGAGTCCTTCGCCATCACCTCTCATTTGAGAAACCAAAATTGATTTCTACTATCCTTAAAGAAATGAAAGTTTCAGAGACGTCATACTCCACGTTACCTTTTCTCAAATTGAGATTAGGTGTAAGACATGCATCCTGTCTAAATCCGTGTTGGTTTGTTGTTTAACGCCGCACTCAGCAATATTCCTGCTATATGATGGTCTGTAAATAATCGTGTCTGGACCAGACAACCCAGTGATTGATATCATGAGCATCGATCCACGCAATTGGGATACGATGTCATTCATCAACCAAGTCCGCGAGCCTGACCACCCGTCGCCATTTATGGCAAGCATGGGTTGCTGAAGACCTATTCTACTCCGGATCTTCACGGGTCCCTAAATACGTGTACAGTATCCAGAGTAGTTTGTTGATGGAATCCAAATGCAGGTTGAAGTTCTTTAGATGATAGTTTCATCATAGCAGATGGCGTTAGCTCGAAAGACTGATGAAAGGCCCTGTGGAAATAATTACAGAGTTAAGTTATGCAACATACAACATTACGGTTAGAATCTTATATGATCACATAATAATTATTGATTATAGTAACTAACTAGTTACCTTTACATATCGATGTATCCACCTATTAACGATCATATCATGCCGTGTCGGCTAAATGTGTGAGGAAAGCCTGAAGTGATGCAGATCTTAGACATTTACCACTTTGGGGAAACCCACGCGCATGGGTACATGCTCAAAAACCAAGAACCATAACCCACTGTCATAGGATTCTGACGTGTCCAAGGGAAGCAACTCAGTACATTGAATTGCGACGACACTGACTGGGCCACCCTTGTCTCCGTACACAAGAGTAGACATAATGTATACTGACAAACAGGTTATCTATGAAATTGATCATGATTACATTAAACCATAACTTGAGTGCACAACATGCAAAAATAGAATAAAATACAAGATATAACTCACCGTGAGTATGGCACCGAGCCCAATGATGTCAGTTACCCCAGGTATGTAATTACCATGGTCACCCACCTGAAGGTAAATGTCGGTCCAAAGGAACATTATATAAATGTCAACAAAAAGTTCGGTTTGATCTGCCATTCCATATCACACACTGCACAAGAGTTTTATCCATCATCGAACTTTTGAACTGGTCCCCATGTTAGGTAAACAATTTCAATTTATTTAAAGGTAGATAGATAGATATAATATGTGTACACGATAAGTAACACACACACTTGAGAATGCTTTTTGAAAAGAGCAATTATAAACTTACATATGTGAAGCATTTTAGCAGACATAGTAAGGGACAGACTCTTTGATGGCTAGCATTTTACCGGATAAAATAAATTGTCATCGAAAGATTTCAGGAAAAAACTGCTTCAGACGGTTGAAAAAGATAATATTGTCGGTCGCAAGGAATACATTGTTGCAATTTTAATGTATCCACTTGCACCCAAGAGACTCCAATGAAAGTGTAAAAGTGAGCTGACGAGTCACCCAGTCGCTAAAAGCCCAGAGAAACAATATTGCAGACAAACACAATGGCAACTGCTGTTGTATCAGTGCGGCATGTTAGATTAAATACATGACACCTTTATATGGATAGCAACTTCTTGTACTGTTTGAACGAAAGTTTCAGACCTACTTTTTGCTCCCTCATCAAGCATTTATCTGACGAAGGAGCAAGAGTGAGTGAGTATGGTTTTACGCCGTTTTTAGCAATATTTCAGCAATATTACGGCGGGCGACACCAGAAATGGGCTTCACACATTGTACCCACGTCGGGAATCGAACCCGGGTCTTCGGCGTGACGAGCGAACGCTTTAACCACTAGGCTACCCGACCGCCCCGAAGGAGCAAGAGGTAGCTCTGTACGTCGTACAAAGAATAAAAGAAGTTATTATCCATAAAAAGGGCCATGCATTCATGTTCTCCCAAATTCTAAATGCCCACCAAAGATTTTACGTCAGATTAAGTACTAATACTAAGACCTAGGCATTTAAATAGTAACTGAAATTAAATACACTTTATAATATATACATTATGACACTACTGCATTTGTATTCACTGAGCAATGGTACCGACTCACTAAGGGTGGTAAACTGGGCTTTTATAGTCAGTTAATTAATACTATAAAATGACATGTAAATTATCTTTAACAGATTTGGACTACAGAACATCATAGAAATGTTGATTCCAAATTCATCAGTGGCTTGAGAAGCTTTTTTTAGTATGGAAATCAGTAGCTGCGTCTTGTACGTACAACAGTTCTGTCAACTTCTATAAAATACTTCTCGATCGTTTGGTGGTAAAATAAGGACAAGTCCATGAAGTTCTGTCTTAAACTCAAAGCAAATCCATTTTCTAAACGTTCTCGATGTATGCAGAAAATGTCATTTGCTTGGGGTAATTAACTGGCATATAAAAACCTCCCCCGATAGTGGAAGCTGTTTGGGGTTCCCAGAGATAACCGAATTCTCTCCCTCTGGGTCGGGCACGCTGGCCTGACTCCGTGTGACACACTCAACAAAAACTGTCATGAAAATGGATTACAAAGTCATTTTTTGACTTACACGTTGGATTTTCATTTGTTGTACCTTCAAACGTTCTCCACCTGTCATCAAATGTTAGTGTCACCAAGGAAGGCTGCCCGCCGGCACGCAAAATACTTTTTCAGATCGACCAGATCGGAAGACAAGGCTGATCTGCACATGCTGCACGGGCGACCCGTTCACCATACTCAGCCCTGATTGGCCTGTCTTGTCACGTGCCGTGGCCCACGGACAGAGCTTTATTTGAAGTGACCCTGTCATAATGTTTACATCTAACAATAGATTGACACATAAATAAAAGGTTTGTCCAACCACTAGAGCCATCAGTTACTTTGATCACCTTAGTAAATCTAGGGACATGTTCAATAAACCACTGAATACATGAAGCTGACACACGTTTCTGCACGGAGGCTTCTGGGCGGTGGGGTCGCCGAGTGGTTAAATCGTTCGCTCGTCACGCCGAAGACCCGGGTTCCATTCCCCACATGGGTACGATGTGAAGCCTTAATTGGTGTCCCCGGTCATGATATTGCTGGACTATTGCCCAAAGCGGTGTAAAAACCTACTCGCTCACTTATGTTGCATGTACTGTTGGCCCTTCGTTTCACTGTTCAAAATATCATATGGACCATTTCTCGTCTGATGTACTTCCAGTTTACCTCCAGGGGAATATTTCTGACCTAATTAGATGACACTGGAGATCAAGGTTACTCATAAATACTTACATCATGTTTGTTGATTAACGCCACACAACAATATTACAACCATATAGTGGCAGTCTGTATACAATCAATTTGGACCAGACAGTCCAGTGATTATAATTACCCCATGAGTTTTGATCTATGCAGTTGTGATACGATGACATGCATCAACCAATTAGATTCATATCCCTAAAACACGACAACCTGTATCAGCTGAGGAAGATTTGATTCAGCATATATATCTTGCATTTACTATTACACAGACAGCGTCCCAGTTTCACACAAGTTACTTATTACAAAATCTGGGAATTGATAAGAAGTGAAACTCATCGGTATGGCGCTGACAAACCTCAAAACTATCAGGACGAACTGGGATTCACCCACGGTCCTAGGTGTCCGGCATTCCTGAGAGATTCAACTCCTCACATTGCAGTGCCTTAGACCTACTCACAAACCGTGACCATCTGATTATCATAATAGTCGGCTCTAAGGGCAAGCATGTGCTGCTCTCACAGCCTCGGAATACCCCGCAATACCAAGGAATACCCAATCAAACCAAGGAATACGCCGCTATACTCAGGAATAAAACGCAATACCAAGGAAACCCCCGAATACACCGTCATACCCAATATAATTACATATGAGAGTGTTATAACGGCTCTGTAGCCAACATAATATTTACATATGAGTGTTATAACGGCTCTGTAGCCAACGTTATTACATATGAGACTATTATAACGGCTCTGCAGCCAAGGTTATTACATATGAGAGTGTTATAACGGCTCTGCAGCCAAGGTTATTACATATGAGAGTGTTATAACGGCTCTGCAGCCAAGGTTATTACATATGAGAGTGTTATAACGGCTCTGCAGCCAAGGTTATTACACATGAGAGTGTTATGACGCCTCTGCAGCTGCAGCCGCACCACTGACCTCATGTATTATAGCGGCTCTCCGACCAATGGAACTGGTCATGGGTAGTTGAAACTTCGATGAGCAGGAAGGACATTGCATAACATGCCATAAAACTCACCAGCCAAAGACAAACTCCATTCTCATGACGGGTGTTCACCTGGAACACATGAAACAAACAAAATGACACAAAACATAAAGCATATCCATACATGTGCACGTCATGTTTAGCCTCCAAGCGTACCAGTTACTGGATAAAGCCAAACTCATGTATAGTAACTGTAGGTGTGGGAGCGGGAGTGGGAGTGGGAGTGGGAGTGGGAGTGGGAGTGGGAGCTGTTTATGGTACAATAAAACAATGCAGGGAGAATAAACCATGAGGGCCGCAGTGTGGTTTATTTCATGATAAAACATTGTTGTACCATGACGTCATTTCTGGAGATTTGAACATGCGCTCGCAACTTTGGACGACGTAACTTTTAAGAGGGAATTGTCCAACGAGTTGTTCCCCGTAGATGTAGCCGGGCAACGTAGATAAACGCAATGGCAGAACGATCGTATCCAAAAGCGGGAGAGATATGACAATCGGTATTGGGAGAAAAGGTACAGTTATCGACGTGCAAATTATGAGAATATGCGGGAAAGACCAAATAGATCCCCCGCCCCCAGCCCTTTTAATAAAATTGACTTGTCAGACATTGACGAGGTCAGATTCTATTCAGAGAATCATCATTATTTAAATACGTGAAAATACATTTAAAGCTTTTAAATTTTATTACCATTATTGAAGAGGCTGTACAATATTGATATTTCATATAAAAAAATAAACGATACATGGTCGTTGTTTATTGTACAATAAAACACTGCATGATAGAATAAACTAGAAAACTATTTCCCTCTCATTCAAACTTCAACCGAAAAAAATATCATTTATTGGTGAAATTATCACGCACCTAAATCCTATTCACTGACCGACTGACACTATCTTGTCATGCACAGCGCATTAAATTCCCATTTCCTGATAAGACGACCTGCACGTTGATACAGATAGGTATAAGTATGTCAAACCTGATACAGTCTGACCATCAATGATCAATATCTTTTTAAAGACACACTACTTCAAACTTCAACCGAAAAAATATATCATTTATTGGTGAAATTATCACGCACCTAAATCCTTTTCACTGACCGACTGACACTATCTTGTCATGCACAGCGCATTACATTTGCATGTCCTGAAAGTGTGACCTGCACCACGTTGCACGTATCTGTGCACGTTGATATAGATAGGTATAAGTATGTCAAACCTGATACAGTCTGACCATCAATGATCAATATCTTTATAAAGACACACTACAGCATCAGTAAGCTGTAGGAAGCGTTACAGCGCTTCACACACAGGCGTTCTTTGCATATTATACCGCTAATACCAGCTGTTTCTCGCACAGTATCGGAGGTCTGTTCACAACAATGGCGTGTCGCGGAATAGCAGTATTGGCTGTGTTGCTGTGGGCTACAACGAGCACCTCTTGTTCATCTCCACAGCGCCCCAACATTGTGTTCATCGTAGCTGACGACCTAGGTAAGCTGGAGATGATGATTAATGTCATGCTGAATTAATACGATACTCTCTCGCAGCTCCTGAACCATAATCATTTGCCCTTCTGCCCAGCCCTTACTGTAATCATATCACTGATTGTACCCTCCAAGTTATATATTTTCAGAGACTAAGCGTTAGTCTAGCAACCTGACAATGTGTGCACGCTTGTCGAAGATCCATCGATCCTATGTTCACATTATTTGCTGTGATAAACCTCATTAAGACTGCAATACATCTTGCATTTCAATTATTTATTGGAGCTTTTATCAACGTTTGGATGTACAATTTCACATTGAAGGCTCACCATGTGATGCATGGCGAAACGCCATCTCGATTAAACAACGTAACAGCTGTTATGGCGATCACATGTTATTGACGTCTTGTCCGCGAGATTTTAGAGATGTTTCCTGAAGTATATCAATCCTGCGGACACGTTTCCTTATTTGTTTATTGTTTAACGCCTTTCTCAGCAATATGCCAGCTGTATAACGCCCCACCGGTGGTACCCGTTGCACACACATGCAAAGGCAAGTCAAACGTTCAGCTTAAAAACAACACGGGAACGTTTGGAACCTGTCAAAATAGGGAATTGCATCGGACATAGTTCTTGTCACTGGTTCGTGCAATTGTGAAATGTCCCCTACATGATTACCAAAAAAACGTTTTTAAAGCTTTGCTTTTGATGTGAAGAATGTGTTTAAATTTATATTTTTGACGCTGAACATGAGAATGAAACCAAATATTATGGATGGCCTTTGCCACAGGTCAGCCCTTAAGCTCTTTCAACAGGTCCTTCCTATCCGCATATGCATTACAGAGTGTAACAGGAAACTGGGGTTGTTATGTGTAAGTTTGAACTGGGGACTGTTTACTGAGTGAGTGAGTATGTTTTAAGCAGCGTATAGCAATATTCCAGCAATGTCACGACGAGGGACACCAGAAATGGGCTTCACACATTGTACCCGTATCGGGAATCGAACCCGGGTCTTCGACGTGACGAGAGAACGCTTAAACCACTAGGTTACCCGACCGCCCCTGTGGATTGTTTAGAGGTGTGTTGCGTGTTGGTCGTAGTTATTAATATCGTATTCAATTTTGTTAGGTATCCTCCATATTGTCAGCGTGTTGTATTTCAGGCTGGAATGACGTTGGCTTTAGGAACCCTGACATCCTCTCCCCAAACATAGACAAGCTGGCCAGAGAAGGGGTCATCCTCAACAGTTCCTACGTCCAGCCTGTCTGTAGTCCGTATGTTGCTTTATGGCATCGATGATGTCATTGTAAAAATATCCTCCATGATTACTGTTATAATTTTTTTCTATAACGGTATAAGGTCCGGGGTTCATACCAAAAGACGTTAAAAGATGGTACTTGTTGTTACCCTGTCTGGCCCTCGGCATTAAGGGGCTAAAACAAGGACTGGTCGGCTCGGAGTCAGTATGCTGTGTGTGAGTGGGGTATTCATGTTAAACTGCGACATGGTATCTCAGTGAGCTAGCACTATAAGGCGGCATCAGTACGGACTATTTCAAGCAGCCACATACACACGCACACACACACATGCACGGCGCTATATAAGTGCAATAATCTTGGACGCGACGTTAAACACAATTTCAACTCACCTCGCTTTTTCTATAGGGCATCGACGATATCATGGTAAAAATGTACTCCATGATTACTGTTAAAATTATTCTTTATAACTCTATTAAATTGGGAGCAGTGGGGGCAATAGCAATAGAGTTAGTGAGTGAGTTAGTGAATGGGTGGTTGAGTAATTGCGTGAGTGAAAACTCTAACGAAGAATGAGTGTAGAAAAAGCACAAACAAAAAGCTTGCCAAACTCTATTGACAGTTATTTTGGGCTACCCTGTCTTGAACTGGCTGTCATTATATCATTGACACGCCTTGAAACTAAGTTGGGTCAAATCTTGGATTTGAACCCACAATCATAGAGTCTAAAGGACGCAACTTTAGTAGCAAAAGCAGAAGCAGTAGCAGCAGGAGTAGCAGTAGTAGTGACAGTAGTAGTAACAGTCGTAGTAGTAACAGTCGTAGTAGTAGTAGTAGTAACAGTAGTTGTAGTAGTAACAGTAGTTGTAGTAGTAACAGTAGTAGTAACAGTAGTTGTAGTAGTAACAGTAGTACTAACAGTAGTTGTAGGAGTAACAGTAGTACTTACAGTAGTTGTAGTAGTAACAGTAGTAGTAACAGTAGTTGTAGTAGTAACAGTAGTAGTAACAGTAGGAGTAACAGTAGTAGTAACAGTAGCAGTAGCAGTAGTAGTAACAGTAGTGACAGTAGTTGTAGTAGTAACAGTAGCAGTAGTAGTAACAGTAGTAGTAACAGTAGTAGTAACAGTAGTTGTAGTAGTAACAGTAGTAGTAACAGTAGTAGTAACAGTAGTAGTAACAGTAGTTGTAGTAGTAACAGTAGTAGTAACAGTAGGAGTAACAGTAGTAGTAACAGTAGCAGTAGCAGTAGTAGTAACAGTAGTGACAGTAGTTGTAGTAGTAACAGTAGTGACAGTAGTTGTAGTAGTAACAGTAGTGACAGTAGTTGTAGTAGTAACAGTAGCAGTAGTAGTAACAGTAGTGACAGTAGTAGTAGTAGTAACAGTAGTGACAGTAGTTGTAGTAGTAACAGTAGCAGTAGTAGTAACAGTAGTAGTAACAGTAGGAGTAACAGTAGTAGTAACAGTAGGAGTAACAGTAGTAGTAACAGTAGTAGTAACAGTAGCAGTAGCAGTAGTAGTAACAGTAGCAGTAACAGTAGTAGTAACAGTAGTGACAGTAGTTGTAGTAGTAACAGTAGCAGTAGTAGTAACAGTAGTAGTAACAGTAGTTGTAGTAGTAACAGTAGCAGTAGTAGTAACAGTAGTAGTAACAGTAGCAGTAGCAGTAACAGTAGTAGTGACAGTAGTGACAGTAGTTGTAGTAGTAACAGTAGTAGTAACAGTACTTGTAGTAGTAGTAGTAACAGTAGTAGTAGTAGTAGTAGTAACAGTAGTTGTAGTAGTAACAGTAGTAGTAACAGTAGGAGTAACAGTAGTAGTAACAGTAGGAGTAACAGTAGTAGTAACAGTAGCAGTAACAGTAGTAGTAACAGTAGCAGTAGCAGTAGTAGTAACAGTAGCAGTAACAGTAGTAGTAACAGTAGTGACAGTAGTTGTAGTAGTAACAGTAGCAGTAGTAGTAACAGTAGTAGTAACAGTAGTTGTAGTAGTAACAGTAGCAGTAGTAGTAACAGTAGTAGTAACAGTAGCAGTAGCAGTAACAGTAGTAGTGACAGTAGTGACAGTAGTTGTAGTAGTAACAGTAGTAGTAACAGTACTTGTAGTAGTAGTAGTAACAGTAGTAGTAGTAGTAGTAGTAACAGTAGTAGTAGTAGCAGTAGTAGTAGCAGTAGTAGAAGCAGTTGCAGTATTAGCAACAGTAGTAGTAACAGTAGTAGTGGTAGTATTAGTGGCAGTAGTAGAGGTAGTAATAGTGATGGTAGTAGTAGTAGCAGCAGTAGTAGTATTAGTAGCAGCAGCAACAGTAGTAGCAGTACAAGTAGCATCA